ATGAGAGTTTATCATCACATTGCGTCATTCGATCACTAGGTTAATTATTTAATTGACCATTTAACTACATGTACCTTTTGGAGCCTCGATTTCGAACTCTAATTCTGGTACAAAGCTATGCAGTGCACACAATTCTTCCCACTGATTCTGGCTCTCATCAGAATCATATGATTCATTTTGTGATTCAGATCTTGTCTCGTCACTATAAAAAAACAATGGTTTGTCTTGTTCTTCGCTAGGTAATCTTGCTCTTTTCGAGTACACAATATAATTGGAGCTCATGATACCTATCAAAAGAAACCCAATAATTATCCAGCTTATAGGAACACTAGAATTATCCAGGACAACAAACAAATAAGCATTTAAACAAACATGGTTTCCACGACATGAATGCTTACACAAACTAAGCAAATCATACACCGACATATTATAGCTAGGCTAAGTAGCTAGGTGGCTGGTCAGCTCTTAAACTTCCCTAAGTATTACTCATCATGACTCTGAAATTTCCCGCTCTAGAGTTTCAATGGTTAGTAGCTAGTGTAAGCCCAATTCCCGTATGGATCACTAGGGAATAATTGTGGCCCAAGTGTAATTATCACTTAATGATTTAATATATAAGGTAAGTCATATATTGGTTAGGTTAATGAAAAATGTAATTTCCTAATATACCCTGATGGTGAGTCTATATAAAGAAACCCTAGGATTGGTCCTCTCTCAACCCATTACGTAGAATTTCTTAGCCGTCATAGAAATCTCTAAACATAAAACCTAAAGGGGTCAAGAGGGAGAAACTCAATTTCGGTGATTACTACTCAAGCCGCCGCCGCCGCTCTCGTCATGGATCGAGGTAGGTTTCCTTGATCTATTATATTACCGATTCGTGAAATCATCTAATTCTAAGATCCATGCTATTATGATTTATGTTTAACATGTGGTATCAGAGCCTTAGGGTTTATATGAATGGATGATTTTCGATTATGTATTATGCTCGATTAGTCTCCGCTGCGTTTATATCAATCGCTTATGCATGATTAAAGCTTGTTGATGCTTCTGATTGATCATCTGTTTATTCTATTGAGTCCACGCGTTCGAGATTTGTACACAACTGTATTTAACTTCTTTGAGGTTTGGTCTTCTGTCTGTCGAGCAATTATTCCCCGTTTATCAAGAACATATATATGTGCAGTGCATGTATGTTTATGCTTACATGATATATTGATATGTTTGTTTCCTCAATTATAATGAATTGCGATGACAGTATCTTGCCTTTATTTCCTTTTCAACTAAAAATCATGATAAAAGCAATTAGGGATGATTACAATTGCTTTTGTATATGCGTTCGATTAATTAAGAGTTTGGGAAGGTTGATAAAGCCTTATGTTTGTCTCAATGATGATTAATATTGTTTTCCCAATAGTAACAGTATGCAATTGGAGACTCAAGTTTTGGGTCTGCGTATTTCAAAGCATTATTAACAACTGTCTTACCTTAAGTTAAAATTTTACATTTGATATCTACTTTATGATTAATTTGTTAGTCACCAAAGTGGCCAAATTAGAAGGTTTATAGATATCAAGTTGAATAAAGTTCAACTGCTAATTTTTATGTGATGCTTTTAAGTTGAAGTTCGTGATTATAAAATATTTTGAATCGCCCAAAGGTTGATTGCTCGTTTTATAATTCATGAACATTATCGTGGTAAATTGATATGCTTGGTTAGATATATTTAGTATATACAAAGATTGCAAGTATATCCAATTTGAGTATGTCTATCACCAATTATATGATTATTTTGAGTATCAATTACGATTATTTATCGCATATATATTGTTGTTTTTCCCAAAGGTAGCACCAATATATATTTTATGTTTATGCTTCCAAATCAGTATTATAGTTTATGCTTATTACCCAAAGCATTAATGTGTGAGTACATGTTATATATGTTTGCAGCATCTGTTCCTGTTTCTCTTCATTCGCAAGCCACGTCTGTTGTTAAGTTTAATGGCCTCAACTTTTCTGATGGGCTGAACAGGTTCAGTTTCACCTCGGTGTTCTGGATCTTGATTTGGCACTCTTAAGTGAGAAACTTGCTGCTCTTACTGATGCTAGCAGTGCTGAGGAGAAGTCTTTCCATAAAGCTTAGGAAAGATCTAACAGACTAAGCCTAATGTTTATGCGAATGACTGTAGCAAACAACATTAAGTCAACTTTCAATGATACTGAAAGTGCTAAGGAATTTATGAATTCTGTAAAAGAAAGCTCTCAATCTGAGTCTGCTGATAAGTCGCTTGCTGGGAAACTGATGGGTACGCTAACCACCATGAAGTTAGATGGTTCTCATACCATGCATGAGCATATCGTGGAAATGACGAATATTGCAGCAAGACTAAGGACCATGAGAATGTAAGTGAATGAAAATTTCCTAGTAACGTTCATCCTTAATTCCTTACCTCCAGAGTATGGCACATTCCATGTGCATTACAATACTCTAAAGGATAAATGGAATGTGCATGAGTTACAAAGTATGCTCATTCAAGAGGAAGCAAGGCTTAAGAAACCAGAAAATCATTCTGCCAATCTTGTTGGTCATAAAGGAGCTGGAAAGAAACCATGGAACAAGAATGGGAAGGGAAAGGAAGGACTATCAAAGCTTAATGAGTCATCTGCCAAAATCCACAAGAAGGAACCAAGTAAGGATATATGCCGCTTTTGTAAGAAAGTCGGACATTATCAGAAAGATTTCTTGAAAAGAAAGGCATGGTTCGAAAGAAAGGGTAAGCCTAGTGCTTCAGTATGTTTCGAAAAATAAAGTGATTAAGTAACTTATTTGGACCACAATCAATGTTGTAGTGGCAGATATTTTCTTTTTCTATTTGACCGCTAGTCAAGTGGATGGAAAATTGGATGGATACACAATTTATAAACTTTCATTGTATCGCATGCCCTATTTTCACTTTAGTGGTATCCTTCCCCCAATTTTCAAAGTTTAGAGGTATGAGAAGTATTTCTCCCTGGATATTTATTACTAGAAGTGACCAAGGTAAAGAGTTTCAGATGGATGATTTCTTCTACACAAATCGCATTTCATGAACTCTCTTGTGTTAACCCCTCAACAAAACAACAAGGTTGAAAGAAAACATAAACATATCCTTGTTGTTGCAAGAGCTCTTAAATTTAAGGCTAATCTCCCGCTGATTTTTGTCAGGATTGTGCCAAGCATACAGTATACCTTATAAACGGAGTTCTTACAACTGTTCAAACACCTTTTGAGAAGCTTTGGGGGGGGGGGGGGAACAGACTACACAAAGTTGAGAGTGTTTGGTCGCTTGTGCTTTGCTAGTACATTAAGCAACTAGAGAGCCAAATTTGATCCTCGATCTATAAAGGGTGTTTTTATAGGCTTCACTATAGGCATGTAGAGTTACAAAACTTATGACCTCACAAATCATGAGGTTTTCACTTCTGGGGATGTCCAATTCTTTGAAGACCACTTTCCCTTTAAAAAACCAGTCACAAACAACACAACCCTACACTCAAACAAACAACCCTACTCTTTTTGATGAACTCAGTCCCTCGTATAAACTAAACTCGCCTCTATATCCACCTTCTAACCCTGAATACCTCCTTAATGACATCCACTTTACCTCAGACACGAAAGTCACTCCCTCATATACTAACCAAAATCATCCTCACCACCACCACCCATCAAAAAGTACACAAGAGTAACCAAACCCCCTCCAGGACTCAAACTATACCATTGTAACATGCTTTAGCAGATTTATTCAACCAATCATCCTCCAAGACAACATACTCGAGTTATCACATACCCTATATCTTCTATTCTTGACTATAGCAGCCTGTTTCCCACTCATAAACAATTTGCTTTATGCATTTCCACTGTAAAGGAACCAGATATTTATCATGAAGCTATACTCTCATATCAATGGAATGCTGCCATGAAAACTAAAGTCAAAGCTTTAGAAGCAAATCACACAGGTGACATTGTTGAGAAACCTACAGACAAGAAAGCAATTGGCAACAAATGGGTCTATCGACTCAAATTCATTCATGATGGCAGCATTGATAGGCACAAGGCCATATTGGTTGCCAAAGGTTACAACCAACAGGAAGGGGTTGATTATCAGGACACATTTGCACATGTGGTCAAGATGACCATCATTAGACTCTTTCTGGCTATTGATGTTGTGCAGAATTGGCATGTCCACCACCTTGATGTTAATAATGCATTTCTCCATGGTGATTTAGAACAAGAGGTCTACATGAAGCTTTTACTTGGCTATACACCTCCTCCTGGTTTGAAGAACCCTATTTGTCACCTCAAAAAGTCACTCTATGATCTCAAACAAGCCTCCAGACAGTGGTTCTCTCAGCTTGTTGACATGTTGCTTTCTCGGGGTTACGCATAGAGCAAAGCAGACCATCCCTTTTTCACAAGGCAACTGCTACTTCTAAATTGACAGTTTGAAGTCATATTTGCATCATGAGTTTAGCATCAAAGACTTAGGTGCTTTGAAGTTTTTTATTTATTTTTTGTATTGAAGTTTCCAGAAGTCATACATGTATTCACATTTTCCAAAAAAAAAATTACACTCTCCAAATCCTAGAAGAAGCTATCTACTACCCACAATAATCCCTTTCCAGAGTCTGAAACACTTGGTTGGCAAACTCATCTACTTGACCACCACTCGCCAGACATCAGTTTTGCCACCCAACAGGTGAGCTACATGTCTAACCCAAGTCAAGATCACTTCAAAGTTGTTCTTTGTACCCTCGTATACCTCAAGAGTGCACCTTCCAGAGACATTTTCCTCTCTTCTTCCTCGACATTGCAACTCAAGCCTTTAGATACTCGAATTGGGCGGCCTATGTTGATACCA